CACACTATAATGTTGGAGAATGTTGTTAGGTATGGAGAGAGTGTGTTGTGTGTTCGTAAAAATCAGAATTCTTGTAATTTTGGTTTTGTTAAAATGTTGGCGAGTGGAGTTATTTTCAAATATTTCATTGGATACTGAATATAGTATTTGTACTTATATTTGTAGTTTTCCATTCTTCTTTGTACTCTATGAAACTATGCATGCTTTTTATCGTTTTAACAATAATCGATTTATCAATTAAAGGTTTTTTGACATTTTGCCTTTGACTGGGTTTAAAATCTGACTGTGAGAGTAATAGTTGCTAGATGCTACGGACAATTGATGTTTTAGATGTGTTCTTTTGTCTTAACTGTTTTTTACATTTTGCCTTTGACTTGGTTTATAATCTGACTGTGAGCGTAATCGGAGCTAGATTGATTTTTTAGATGTTTTCTCGAACACAAATTAATGTTGTGGATTTTGTCTTAACTGTTTTTGAGCTATTGCACTTGCCATTCAATACCCTTAAAGTTGCACTTAAACATGTACATATTTTATCTCCTTATTTATATAAAACATTGAAAAATATACTATTCCTTACTTAATATCACTGAAATATTTTAAATATTAAGTGGATAACCATTAGTAGGTATATGTTGTGTATATTTTATTTTATAGTGTTTTTTATTGTCTGGGATCAATTTTAAAAAGCGATTTAGGTTTAATTCTTAATTTTATTTGGGCTATTTTAATTGATAGCGAAAGAATATATCATTAAATTGTGTCATCTTCGGCCTTACTTCGTATTATCATATGTGCCTTCATGCATTTTTCGACTCCCGAAGAAAACAAGAAGCTGCCTGATTGTCTTAGGAAGGTCACACGACATTCTTGAAGCCCTCGCAATGTCGTCGTGGATCCACCGTATTATAGTGCGTTGACATCAGGATGGGACCACGGTGTTGGTGAAGAATTTGAAATAATTTTGAATTGTACAGTATGTTTTGCTACCGATGATCAGCAATGGATTTTCCCGATTTAGTTGGTTGTTGCTGCCAATTATACTGTCTGCTTCCATGGTCGGGTTAAAGTTTTATAAAAATCGGCAGGTAACGCGAAGCCTTCGTGACCCAATTCGAACGCATTGTACTCTCGTTAAGACGTGTCTTCTGCATAAGCCGTTCCTTTCTCATTAGGACGTCATGTCCCAATCTTCGTGTACGGTTCGGTTCCCTTAAGCCTGCATAAGGGAAGTAACCCGGACCAGTAATTCATTTGCCATCTGTTTCCATGTAAAATCACGAAATTCAACCTTCTAAAACATTTCATGTAGTCCGTGCTACATAGCCATCATCTTTCTCCCTCTATATTGGGGTTCTTGCATGCCTATTTTGTCAATTTTTTGGTCTGGGTTTGGAATTTGATGTTTGAAATTGCATTTTCTTTCAGATTGTGTGAGTTGATGAGAGATTCTCATAGCGGAAGGATAATTCTTAAATTATTCGTTTTATGTGCAGTGACGGTCAAGCGGATGTTGATAAAATTTAGTGGTCTACTTTTAGTTTGACCA